ATCACCAGCAATCCGACCTATTCTTCATAACAACTACACAAGAAAAAGTTCAAGGCATTCTTATTCTTCTCTGTTCTTCTAGAACCTTTCAATGACAAATTAGGCTGCTTTAAAAGACATAGAAATTTTCACTGGGAAAACAGATTACCACAGACAATTCTGGTTTTTATAGTGTATAATCTAAACAAGGAAGGTAAGAAATGCAGATGTCTACATGGCAACTAACTGCAACAAGATATTTAAAGCAAGTGTAGAATGGAATATGGTCTAATGCATCCCCTCTAAAACTATGGTGAACTGGATTCCCACTGTGGCAATATTAAGAGTCGGACCTTCTCATTTTAAACTGGGTTTCTTGTTCTTAGTTCGATGTTTGATAGGTATTATACTGTCATTATCAAAGGTGATGTCTTACTTAATAAATACATCTTAGTTTGCTGTCAATTTAAGCCTCCATTTCTTCCATATTTAATGTATATAAAACAATGATATAATACTTGATCTATTTTCTTTTATCTAGGACCTATTTAATTACTACTGTTTAGTTTTGTGGAATTTCTGTTTATGGAAAACAAGACGGCATTAAAAGGATCAGTTCCTAATGATAAATGGCCATTTTAAGACTACTGATTAGAGACTTGGGGAACAGGCAAAATTGATTGAACTGAATCTTGGAAAAGAGGCAAAATATGGGAAGAAAAGAAAGGATTAGTTTTGTTTTAAATATGGGGGCACAAAAGAGATGATAAGAATTATCATCTTAGATGAAGGGAGGGGCAGGGCCTAATTCCATTCTAAGAAAACATCTTTCTGGGTCTGTGAAACCAAAGAGAATTAGCACATTGAAAGTATCAGTCCTTTCACTAGCTATTGTCCCCTTAAAGTGTGCAACATGCACACTCTTGGTCTTTTCTGATTTGATGAAGTAGATACTTGCACATGCGCTGAAGCTCAATATGGCTCACCGTGACATTTCCATACTCACTCCCCTGTCTTTTCTTCCCCTACTATTTCTTTTCACTTTATCAATTGTTTCATGGCTTGCAGGCTGTCTTTTCATTTTTCGTAACTCTAGTTTCCTCATGTGAGAAAAAGTGTCACATTTATCTTTCTGTCCTTGTGTTTTATAGCCCTGGAACAATCTTCTCTTAGTATCTCAAATTTACTTTGTCCATTCTTTCTTAATAGTTCCAGTAACACTTGGGTAATACTTTCCTTGTGAGAGAGATGGGACTCATGTTTACAGATGAGTAATATAAGTTCTCATTTGAGTAAGGCAGTTGAAGATTAATTGGTAAATATAAGATGAAGATCATGGGACACAGTTTCTCAAGGATCAGAAATATCTCATCTCCATGTTTAATTTTTATCTTTGTATACAACCATTTGAATAACCAGATAAGTAACATTGAAACTATTACTGGTAAATGATTTGCCCAGTAATTAAGGCAACAAATTACATAAGGTGCTACTCTGTTACCAAAGGGACAATCTTCTAATTCATACATCAAAATATTACATAATTTTTACTTTTTGTCTAATAATTTGAATGGATTTTGAGGTGAAAATTAACCACAAAGATTTTGAAGAACATTGTGGTAGGTATTATGAAATATGACCACTGTTATATAAAACATTCTATTAAATCTTTATTTTTAAAATTTATAGTGTATGAGACCTTTAAAAAGTAATTTACATTTAGATATTATCTTAAAATTCTGTTAAATCACTTTGTGTTTTTATTATCTGAAGATCGCATCTATCCCCAAATAAAATTGGACAAAAATATGATATTTGAGAAATATAAAAACACTTTGTTTCTACAACCCATTCTTTTGAGATATTTGTGGACTTTACAAAGCTCCATTTGATATTAAACACATGGCATAGTAGTTCTAAGAAAAATATGTCTCTGATTTAGGATTTCTATTACCAATTCATATTTATCAAGCATCCACAAAACTTCCTTATTTCAATGATTATTTTGTTCAATGATAGAATGATGAGTACATAAAATATCTGCTAAAATATTACAGCAATCATTTAAACATGAGTTAAAATATAGGCTTACAAAGATGTATGACTTAGTTTTCTAATTTCACTTCATGTTTATTTGCCCAGAGTTAGGTTATAATATAAATTAATATTATCTCAACTGACATAATTTATATGATAATGGAAGCAGTGAGTATAAAAAGAAATATGTAAGCTTAGACTTTTTTCCTGAATGGTTATCCTTTTCTGCATGAACACTGAATGAGAAGCAGTGTTTATGAGCGTGTGTCTGTGTGTGTGTAATTATTAAGTCCAATTAAGAATACTTTCACAATTTTGGGGAAGAAATTTGGAATTATTCTTGAAAGTATATGGAATAATAGTTATCTGTTTATCATTTCAAAACAAAAATTATAATAAGATTTTTTTAAAAAAAACTTAGGAAATATGCTGTGGGACAATGATCTTGTACCTCGTAAAGATTTGTAAGTTGTATTGCTTTAATAAAATGCTGTCTGGCTAGTAGCCAGGCAGAAAGTATAGGTGGGGCAATAAGAACAGGAGAATTCTGGGAATTTATATATGTGTATATTGTGGAAAGTTTTTATACTCATAGTAGGAAGCTTCCACCATGGTTAAGTTTCCATATCTTTTACAAAGGTCTTTAGTATAGGTTATTGGGGTTGTCTGAATGAAAATGGCCCCACAGACTCTTAGGGAATAGCACTGTTGGAGGTATGGCCTTAGTGGAATAGGTGTGGCCATGTTGGAGGAAGTATGTCACTGAGGGGCTTTCAAATTTCAGAAACTCAAGCCTGGTCTAGTGGCTCACTCCTGCTGCCTGTGGATTTAGATGTTAACTCTCAGAAACCCATCTAGCACCATGTCTGCCTGCATGACACCATGCTTCCCACCCTTATGACAATGGACTAAATGAACTGTAAGCAAGCCTAGTTAATGCTAGTTAATTCCTTTGAAGAGTTGCCTTGGTCATGGTGTCTCTGCACAGGAATAAAACCTTAACGATGACAGTTATAGCCCTGCCTCAAGTCTACTCTCTTAACTCTTGCCTCGCTTAGCTGATCTTGCCCCATTTCTCACTTTTCTACTTCATACCACCTCATCCACCTCTTCCTTGACTAAGGTTAGGTTAGTCTGTTCTTTCCAGATGATTTTTAAGTTTTTTTTTGAGGAAATTTCAAATTGATCTCCATAATGACTAGACTAAGTCACACTTTGCCTAGGAAGGTACAAGCCTTTCCTTTTATGTCCACCCAGGCCACAATTAATTTTCTTTTCTTTTTTATTTAAATTTTTTCATTTTACATACCAACCCCTGTTCCCCTCCCTCCCCTTCTCCTGCCCCTCACCTCCTGCCATTCTATCCCCCTATCCACTTCTTGCAGGGGGCACGGCCTCCCATGGGGCCTCAACAAAGTCTGGCATACCAAGTTGAGGCAAGACCAGGCATCTCTCCTTGCATCAAAACTGGGCAAGATATCCCATCATAGGGAATGGGCTCCAAAGAGCCAATATAATAAGTCCTGGTCCCAGTTCCAGGGGCTCAACAAACAGATCAAGCCACACAACTGTCATCCACATTCAGAGGGGCAAGTTTGGTCCCATTCAGGCTCCCCAACTGTCAGTCCAGAGTCCCTGAGCTCCAACTAGCTCAGTTCAGCTGTCTCTGTGGTTTTCCCCATCATGATCTTAACCCCTCCTTGTTTATATGATCCCTACTCCCTCTCTTCAGCTGAACTCCATGAGCTCAGCTCAGTGCTTGGCTGTGTGTCACTGCATCTGCTCGATCAGTTACTGGATGTAGGTTCTATGACAGTTAGGGTAGTCACTAATCTGATTACAGGGTCAGGCTAGTTTAGGCACCCTCTCCACTATTGCTGGAAGTTTTAGCTGTGGTCATCTTTGTGGATTCCTGGGAATTTCCTTAGCATCAGGTTTCTCCCTACACCCATAATGACTCCCTCTACCAAGATATCTCTTCCATTGTTCTGCCTCTCCGTTCCTCCCTCAATTTGGCCATCTCAAGCCCTCATGTTCTAATTACCATCCTCTTCCTTCTACCCCCTCCCAGTTTACCCAAGAGATCTTAACTATTGGACATATACCCAAAAGATCATACCACAAGGACACTTGCTAAACTATGTTCATAACAGCATTATTCGTAATAGCCAAAACCTGGAAACAACCTAGCTGCCCCTCAACCAAAGAATGGGTAAAGAAAATGTGGTACATTTATACAATGGAGTGTTACTCCAAGGTAAAAAAAACAATGACATCATGACATTTGTAGGCAAATAAATGAAACTAGAAAAGAATCATCCTGAGTGAGGTAGCCCAGAACCAGAAAGACAAATGATATGTACACACTCATAAGTGGATATTAGACATAAAGCAAAGGATAGCCAGGCTACAATCCACAACCCTAGAGAAACTAGGTAAAAAGGAGGACCCTAAGAGGGACACAAATGGAGGGCCCCAGGAAGCAGAATATGTTTTCTTAATGATTGTTTTTCTGAATGGGAGAAACAGTCTCTCAATGAAGTTTCACTTCTATTTTCTCATGTATAAAGATGTTAGCCATTTATATGAATATTGCACATCTGCACTTCACATTTTAAGAATGGTCTATTCACTAGTCCATTTATAATCACATTCACAGCCTCTTTTTATTGATTTTAATTTCATGGAATCCATTGTCAGTTCTTGGCATCATTTCCTTAACTACTAGGGTACAAGGGCAAAATCTATGATTCCAGGATGAAAAGCTAGCAATGGGTAGATCCCTGAAGCTAACTGGCAATACACTGCAACCAGGCAGTGAACTTGAAGTCAGTTAACAGACCCCATCTCAAAAAAAAAAATGACTGAGAAGGACACCTGCCATTGACCTCTGACCTACACCTAAACAAACACACGTGTATGAGCACCCATACACATCTGTGTACACACATACACACACAAAAAAAAACACATGCACACACTAATAAAATATAGTGCATATAAGCAGTGGGATTTTATTCAGTTACAAAATGAGGTTATTTTATTTTTCATCTTCAAAAATAGAATGAAACTGGATATCATTATATCAAGCAAAAAAGTCAGAGTCAGAAGGACAAATGTTACATGTTTTTTCTCATATGCAGGAAGAAACTATATTTAAACTTACATGTGTGTTATGTATGTATAAATATACATATGAATATAATATGTATACACAAGTAGAAAGAGAGCCGGTTAAGAGAGGGGAGAGTGATATATAGAGGATAATAGAGTATCTGTGACAACATGGGGCAGAGTAAGAGACCATTCGAGGAGAGGGAGAGTCCAGTAAGGGAAGAAGGAATTGGGGAAGGGAAAGAGAAGAGTATTGGGGGTGAGAATAATCAATACAATGCTTTATTTTCATGGAAACGCCATAAAAAAGAAACTTACTACTTTGCATGATGTCTAAAATTTAAAAAAAAACACAAGATGCAAATGAGAGATTACATTGCTCACTACAGGTATTATACATTACAGCAACTGATACACTTGGCATCAAATAGAAGTTCTGGGCTTCACATTTTCCATGCGGGCTGTTAGGGAAATTCTATGTGATTACTCTGAAATACATGAAACCTGGATCATACTGAGAAATGCCACCAAAGCAATGAGCTATGACTTTGCTAGTGAAAATCATCAGTGTGGCAGATTTTAAATAATAATAGTAAAAAGTTTACATATGAAAAAGTTATAGTAGGAGAAACTATAATTTGTTCCATAATCATCATAATTATTTGAGACATAGAAAGTCTGTTGGAAATGTAAATAACTCAATTTGGAATTTAGAGCATACAAATGTTGAAATAAGAGCGGCGGGGCTGCGTCCCCGGCACCCCGCCGCCCACATGGCTAGCTTATGCTCGAAATAATTACACGGAAACTGTATTCTAAACACTGCCTGGCCCAGCTAGTTCCAGCCTCTTATTGGTTAGCTATTACATATTGTTCTAACCCATTTCTAATATTCTGTGTAGCCCATGAGGTGGCTTTACCAGGGAGAATCTTAATCTGCGTCTGTCTGGAGTGGGAGAACCATGGCGACTCCTTATTCAGCTTCTTTCTCCCAGCATTCTCTTCTGTTTACTCCACCCACCTATGTTCTAACCAATAAAATGGGCCAAGGCAGTTTCTTTATTATAATTAACCAATGTCCTTCCTCCATCATACAAATATGATTATCTTTCTTTTGACAGCTTGAGTTTACAAACCTAAATTAATACAATGTCATAGTCTTTCCATTTCCTCATTAAAGAAAGAATTGAATTTTATAATTCAAATGCAATGCAGAGATCAACAAGTGCTTACAGTTTTGAGACTCTCTGCTCTCTGAGTGAAAGTTTTATGTCATGTTAAAACTTCCTTTATTATCCTTAGAGATAAAAATACTAAATACCACTAATTTCCAGGCTGCCCCATACTTTACATTGCATTAAACTGTTCAGAAACAAGGTTTTCAATTAGAAAAATATTAGAAGTATAGAAGGAAACTTTGATGATAAGATCCTCATAATTTGATAGCCGCCCTGAGCTTGGCTGAGCGCCCTCTGGGGTTATCTTGGACATCTTCATCTTCTGGGGTAAGCACCTTCTTGTGAATCAGATCCCACATCAGAGGAGCTCTTCCAGAGCTGCTCCCCTCACTCTCATGATCTGAATCCAGCCGTGCAGTTTGCCTTACCTTCTGTCTGATGCTGAGGTTAAATCTTTCTGTCATACTTATCCCAAGCAAAAATCGTTTGACAATGCGATCTTCTAAAGAATGGAAGGAAAGCGCAACAAGACGACCACCAGTTTTCAGAAATTTCTGTGCTGTTTTCAGTCCCGTATAGAGTTCATTGAGCTCATTGTTCACAAAGATGCGAAGAGCTTGGAACGTCTTGGTAGCAATGTGGGTAGATCTTTGTAGCAAGTCCTTTCTTGCATAGACAGCTGAGGTAGGAAAGGCACCTAGAGAGATTTTTTAAGAATAAGGAAAAAAGACAAGCAACATTAACATTTGCTATGTAAATGTCATATAGTGTGCACTTTTAAAAAACTAAATTTTCTGAGAAAGTGATATTTCAGTAATAATTTCCTCTTATTTTAATTTTCTTTATGGTTTAAAACCATATAGCATAACTAACTTTTATAGCTCAACAACTATAATCAAAGAGGAAGAAATAGAAGGAGTAGACAATATTTTGAAGATATTATTACAAAATTTCACAACTTTGCAAAAACCATTAGCTTATAGTAATAAAAAGTATAATGTGCTGAAAATAAAATAAAACCATATCTAGGTGCATCATAACTGAACTGCTACAAGCTAAAGACAGTAAGAAAAATCATAAAAGCAGCAAAGAAAATAACAGATCCTCAATAAGTCAATGCACAGAGGAGAATAGACTGGGGAATGCTCAGCCATAAATAGGACCTATGTACCACAATCTACCCCTCAAGGCACAAGATTCTTCCTGGAAGAAGGGGCAGAAATTTAAGAGCTGGAGTTGGCAGTGGCAGATGACTTCAAGGAGACAGTGTTTTCCCAACACAACAGGAAGAGCACTTACAGTGATTATATAAGCATGCAGAGGACATATGCAAGTTTAGGTCAAACAAACTCCCAGCAAAGAGGTGGCCAGGTGAGCACCAAGTCCCACCCCTTGTTGAGAAGCCATTGGCCTGTGATAGCTGTTGGAAGAGGAAGAGTTTTAAATCGGATCCCTAGTAGGTTGACCACAGGCCATGGCAGGCCCCACTCCAAAGACTTCTTGGGCAAAATAAACTGAACTTTTTTGGGGAAAGGAGAAGAGTGCCCAGTGTATGAGAGAAAAGAATGGGAAGGCAGAGGCTCCTAAGCAGAGGTAGCCACCCTCTTGTGTCTTTCCCAAAAAATTTCTTCTGTGAGGTTTGTTATGCAATGTAACTTTGTGGTATTCCTTGGCTCTCGACTGCCAGGATACCTTTCCCCCCAGAACGCAACACTTGTATTGGGGAAAATAAATACTGTTTAAAGTATATACAACATGAATGATAAAAGGAAGAGTATGGTAAATTGTGAGTTTATGAAAATTAAAAAGTTTTGCTTTGAAATGTAATAAAAATCCACAGAAAAATCCACATCAAATCACCAATCTAATGATATTTGAATCTGAACACAAAAGAAGCAAAGTGCAGAATAACAGAAGCTACTGTCTCCATAACACTCTGCAACATGCACATAAGACAGACTTGCTCTGCACAGCTTAAGGACTGGGATGAGCAAAAATGATGTTTCATACAAGCTTGCATTGGAAAAGATAATATAATTATACCTTAGAAATGCCAATGAGTTTACACAAGAATTTTACCTTTACGAGCAGGTTATTAGTAAATATTCCAAAGAAATTATATTTTCATTCTAGATTTCTTATGAATGAACATCTACAAGAATGAATGAAATCCTAGTATTTTAATACCTTACATATGCTTCTTGAAAAAAAGTAAATCACACAAGGATATGTATGCTTATCTCACATTTTATAATGTTTACACAGTATCAGGACAGTCAGTGTTGTATATTAATTTTCTCTGTGAACTTCATTATACAAGAGAGAAGTAACATACAAAAGTATGAAGAACCTGGGTATCTAAATAAACAATCATGACAAGCTCACTCTGATCCCTGGAAACCTACATGCTAGAAAAGGTTAGAGTCTAGAAATTTATCCTCCAACCTGATGGGACTCTCAGAAACAAGATGTCACTTACAAAAGTATGAAGAACCTGGGTATCTAAATAAACAATCATGACAAGCTCACTCTGATCCCTGGAAACCTACATGCTAGAAAAGGTTAGAGTCTAGAAATTTATCCTCCAACCTGACGGGACTCTCAGAAACAAGATGTCACTGCTAAAAGAGAAAAGCTAGGTCAATTTCTTTTCATCTGTTAACTGATGCCTCACGTTTTTATGAAAAATAGTTTGGATCACTGAGAAACGAGTTTCACAGAATTCTAAGGACCTAAACAAAATTTAGTGAGTCATTATTTGAGGCTCAGATTTAGAGGAAGCTTGAACAAGACTGGATTCTTAGCTACTTTAGACTTTACAGAACTCAACACCACATTCAAAAGAGAAATACCATGTAAAATTCAGTTTCAAAACAAATATTACAGGGTGCTTTAAAATGATTTAAATTTACCATTATATTTACAATTTTATAGAAATTAAGAGCAAGTTATTCGTGGCAATCACTTAACTTGATACTTTATAACAGAATTTTTATTTTAAAGATATTCATTTCAGGATATAATTTTAAACATAGTACTGAATTATTCATAAATGGCTTTATCTTATCTAAGTTCACAAAATAAAGAAAAGTGGAGAGCACAATGTGTGTTTGCAGACTACTGTCAATGAATATGTTTTTGAAAAAAAGGCTTTTTTATAACAAAATAATAAAAATAATCAATTGATATCTGGAGTAATCCTAGAAACAGAAAAAAAATGGCACTTTCCTATGGCCTCATAATAGAGAGTTTATAATTCTGATAGTAAGTTAGCTGTACACTATGAGGATCTTGGCCAATTTTATTTTTTAAACAAATTTATTTTTATTTCAAAGTTGTAACATAAAGTAAAATTACGTTAATGTACTATATAGTACAATTTCAAGTTTATATAATCTATATTCACATTAGACATATCCATACCATATAGAAACCTGGAGACCACAACTTAAGATCCCTGTAATGAGACATGCTTTTCTTCAGGAGGGTCCCATTTGACCTTTGCAATGCTATGTAGTGACAGAAAATGAACATGAAATCTTTCAATTATATCTAGGTCAAAGAATAACAAGCTATTATTAAACTATTACACTTTCATTCTGGAGCTTTGTTACTATTGTTTATGGAATTCTCATGTGGACTATATTCAACGGATTTCCTAGAGAGGATTTTTAAATATGGTCCAGTAACTTTCCTGTCCTATCTTCAGAGAACAAGAAATGTCGGGCTTTGTGAAGCATTTCAATGTTGCTAAGAATATCAGTCACACATCCTCCTCTGTTTTGGATAAAGTAATTTCCAAGATTTCTTTTCATTAATATCAGTGCTTTATTTTTATAGCTTACAAGAAGGAAGAAAGATAATTCAGATTTTGTAAAATAAAACTAAAAAGGAATAAAAGGGGGATTGGAAAAATGGCTTAGTCAATATAATCTTTGCTGTGCAAGTATGAGACCTGGGTTCAGACCCCGAGTGTCCAGTAAAAGCCTGGCATAGCAACACGTCTGTTGCCCCAGTAATTTTGGGGCTAGAGACAGTTGAACACTAGGGCTTCACTGGCCAGACAGCTAAGTCAAATTGATGTGCTTCAGCTTCACTGAAGAAGCCCTATTTCAAAAAAGCAGGAAAAGCAACTGAGGGCGACACTTAACATAGATCTCTAAATTTTACTTATAAACGCATGTGCACGCACACATGCACAAAACACACGAAGAATATAAGGTATCCATAAGAAAGTGCAAAAGCAATAAGAACAAAGCACCAACTAGCAAGAATACAAATAAAAAATACAAATGAAAAGGTCTACCAAACATGAAGGATTCATCAAGGCTTTTTTTCCCCCCCAGTTATTAAGCTGAGAGACAAGTAAGCATACTGTCATCGTGAGAATCCCTAAATGGATTTCCTTGTTGCAGTCACTGGTCAAGAGTGCTAGGATGGAGTCTTCATGACTATCATAGATTAGATAGAAACATCTATTTACAAGTCATTGGGGGGAAAAGATTCAAAACCACACCAGATTCACTACCTTCTCAGATGTTGGGCTCTGGATTAGGACATTAAGTAAGAAAATATTAATGAAAGTGAGACATGGTCCCAGCCTCTAAGGAGCTCAGTTTTGTAACCTGTCACCTCATCCTAATCTCCCACAGGCTTTTCTTTAAAATCAGAGATAGAATTTGTCTGTTCTTCCATTTCCTGAATTTGATTATGGAGTCTAGTATACCTAATTTATTCAATTATGGAATAAAATAGCCAAGACAGAAAATATGGTCTCAACCACAATTTGGGTGGTTTGGTTTTATAAAGGGAGAAAATTATCTTTTTTGTGTTTTATTAACAGATTTGGCTGACATAGGACAATACATATTAGTTTTATGCGGGAAAAGGTGTGCTTAACCCAGGTAGAACTCATCACAATTACCCCATATTACCAAACTCAGAGATTTGTCTCTGATTTTCTTTTTTTAAAAAATATTTATTTATTTATTTATTTATTATGGATACAATATCCTGTCTGTGTGTATGTCCGCAGGCCAGAAGAGGGCACCAGACCCACCATATGGTTGCCGGGAACTGAACTCAGGACCTTTGGAAGAGCAGGCAATGCTCCCAACCACTAAGCCATCTCTCCAGCCCTGTCTCTGATTTTCTTGACAGCAAGAGCTGTTTCCTGTTTCCTCCTGAAGCCCAGCATACCTTAGACAAAAACGAGATAACTAGCTCTACTCTAGACCTAACGAGTCAGTTTCAGCGGTTCATTACATAGAGCTCGTACCTTAAAAGAGCCTGATATTTCTTTCAGGTCAAGAGACAAAGCTATTTTTTAAATTTACTTCTTTTTCATACTATATATTTGTCATAATTTTCCTCTCTCCAAACTACTCCCAGATCTTCTCCATGCAATCCCTACATTCCCAACTTCATATTCTGTCTCTCAAAACCAACCACTCAACATCCTTAGCCATCAGAGAAACAACTCTGAAATTCCACCTTACACCTGTCAGAATGGCCAAGATCAAAAACACTGATGACAGCTTATTTTGGAGAGGATATGGGGTAAGAGGACCACTCCTTCACTGCTGGTGGGAGTGCAAACTGCTATAGCACTTTTGGATATCAGTATGGCAATTTTCAGAAAATTAGGAAACAACCCACTTCAAGATCCAGCAATACAACTTTTGGGTATATACCCAA